TCAGATTCCCCAAGAGATCACACTCTGTCTTCTGTATTAAGAATAAAATAACAAAAGGACAAGGACCTTTGAATGCGCTGACCATGGAGACAATCAAAGAAAGCAGAAGACTCACCAGACATTCAGTGCTCCTCTCCACTGAATGAGAGAGAAGCTGGAGGCATTCCACAAGAGAAAATGGAGAAGCATTCTTTGCTGCTAGAACCAACACAGCCAAACCAAAGCAGAGCCGGCAACAGCAACAAAAGGCAGCAATGGCCACTCCAGTGGTCTTTGTCAAAAGGTAACCACTCTTGTAATGATAGTGCCTTTGTGGAAAAGCACAAGACGAAAGGAGCACCACTGGCAATGCTAGCAATGGCAAAAGCAGTGTCAGGACCAAGATGTCTGGCCTTACAGATGACACAGTTCTTGAGTGGATCAAAGACTTCTGCTACCACTCCTTCCAGTGTTGTTTGTGGTCCTTCTTCTCTGGCTCTCTTGGATCTGTTGTTGTTCAATTTGGCGAGTTCATAAGCTCTCTTCTGCTGGGAGTTTCTATTCTGGCTTTGGCAACCCATTCCTCCATTTTGTGTTGTTGTTGCTGCTGCTGTTGGTGGCTCCATGATGCTGTCTTCTGCTGCTGCTGTTGGTGCCTTTTGTTGGTGGCTTTTTGGCCAAGATAATGACTTTTCGAGGGCTTCGAGAGCGGCAGCATGTCATTGTCGACGATCGACGGAGGAATCCTTCTTTCGGTTTTCGCGAAAGAAGAAAAGCCGTAATTTGGTAGCACACTAGTACGTAAACTGTTTAAACTGCATGTTAATTGATTTAAATCTTGTTCCTTATATATCGCTGACATATACATTGTTCTTCGGTCCTCTCAGCCAATCAGATCACTGCCTTCCACCCCTTTCGCCCTCCTACCATTTTAGTAGGGTCACACGCTCCACCTCGAGTCGAGTGAGAGGCCGACGAGAGAGTCTCTGTCCCAGATTTTAGAGTCTCAGTCTTGCGAGTGCTACCCATGCCTCTCCCAAATTTCTCATCTGCTCCCCAATGATTCTTCTACTATACATGTAGATTTCATTTGATTCGATTCAATCCATTTAATTAAATAGTGCCCCCTAACAAAGCTCCTACTAACCATTCATAATCCAAATACCTACTACTAGACTAGCTAGTAGAGTCTACTCGAGTACTTGCTTTGGTACCAGTACCACTCACCGGGCACGGGACAGAACAGTGGCACTGCCGAGCGAACAAAGCCCAGCTCCCAAATTTTGAAAGAGGCAGAATAATTTGCAATCTCAGGCCAAAGGGTAAGATGCAATATACTGTGCTCGTATACTTCTTTCTCCTTCGGCTCTCTGCTCTCCATCCTCAGCCATGGCTTCCTATCATTTCAACTCGAAACATTTTCTTGGTCTTATCCAACAGGCCTTGATCGGGGCTCTGTTGTTTGCCAATGTCATGCCGGTGAATGGAGACAATGAACCGGACGTGAACGAGAATGGCTGTACGTTGAAAATACAAAACGGCCCCACTTTCATTGGGGATGACATCAACAGTCTGGATGGCGTGACCTTGTCCACAGCGGGCACTCTTACCTGTGAAGCAGCGTCGCGAACCGACCCTGGCCCTTGCAATGGTGCCACAATCTCTAACTGCCTCAGTGTGGTTTGCAATAGGAACGCTTGCCGAAATGCTGATCTTTCCACAGGTATTGATGGTGTGCAATGCAAAGGTGCCGGTGCTTGTAGCGGGAGTCGGATGAGTCTTCCTCCTCTCTGTGCTGTGACCTACCAAGACGGCTCAACATCTATCGGTGCTGCAATCCATTCGTCCAGCACCCAATACGATGCCAATGCCAACTCGGTAACCTGTCAAACTGGGTGTGATGGGTTGATTGTATCTGGATGCTCAAGTGTGGTTTCTGCCAGTGTCTGTACTTTGTTTCGGCCAGATGGTACTGGCTATTATGGGTCGGCCATTGCTGCCCTTGAATATGTAGAGTTTGACACAAATACCAACAGTCTCACATGCAAGCAACCAGGAACTGATCAGCATAGGCCCTGTCAAATTGCTTCTAATGGTCAAGTACCAACAATTTCTGGCTTCAGCCAGCTCATCTGTGAAGATCGTGCTTGCTTTAGAGCAGAAATTACTGGGGTTCCTTCTATCAAGTGCAATGGTTATTCTGCATGTTATGAGACCACAATGACAGAACTGCCAAATGATGCAATTGTGAAATGTGAAGGAGAATCTGCATGTCACAGCTCAATGATCACAGCAGCTGACAGCTCCAGTGGTACTCGGGTTATTTGCGAGGGCAAGAATGCTTGTGGTGGTGAGGCAATTGTCAATGTTGATTGTGTTGAATGCAGATCCTCTGATGCATGCCTTACAACACGTAATCATGCCTGCCTCTTCCGTGGAGAGGCCTGCCAGGAGGGCCCCCAAGGAACCTGCCCTTGCAGCTTGACCACGTCCACAGGAGAAACCTATTTGGAGCAGGACATCAACACTCTTACTGATGTCTCCTATGATTCTAATGCAAACAGCATCCTTTGTGAAGGCCAATTGCAGGGACAATGCCGGGGTGGAACAATCATGGCATGCCCTACGGTTGAGTGCAGCACGCGGGCCTGCAAAGGAACCACAGTCTGGAAACCAAATGACTTGGACTGTATTGGCCTATGGGCTTGCAAAGAAGCTGTCCTCAAGGAACTCCCGTCTGGTGCTACAGCCTCCTGCAATGGCGACAGAGCATGTGTGGACGCCATATTCACCTCCGAAGAAGGACAAGGAAGTGTCACTGTGGATTGTGTTGACATTGAAAGCCGGGCGTGTCTACGAGCTACCCTTGATAGCGTTGCATTGAGCTACTAGCTAGTGGTTGTTGCTGGCGTGTGGCTTGAGTCAGTGTTGTGGAGTTGTCTTGAATCTTGGATGGATGTTGCTCTGGTCTTGGCATGCTAGTAAAGTATAGCATGTTGTTCCCACCAGTAACCTTGCTTTTGTAACTGATTCTTATAGCCATCTATAAGTAACTTGTTGAGAGGCTTTGTTTGTCTTGATCCACCTCCTCCCCTATATCCAAGGACCACCATTCCATAAACCGCCCTTGATGCCTTTGCTCCGTGGATTTCTCCCTGGTAGTATACAGTCAATCACAGTCGGAACGGCGAAGCCGCGAACACGGTTCACTTGACACTAGTAGGTCTGACTACAGCATTAGTCTCTACTGAAAGCAGCGCTGCTTGCGGGGGTGATCATGGAGTGATTCGTTCTTCAAGGGCCGGTGATGATGGTATAGCCGATCTGAGTCGATTCCAAAAAACAAAAAAAGAAGTCTTTTAACAGGTTCAGACAAGCTGTGCTTGAGGACGACCCACGAGCTGAGGCACGGGTGTTTCCCACAGTCAAGTCAAATCACCGACCACACGTGCCCCGGAGGGTGTGCAACTGCTTTATGCGATCAAAATGAGTAAACTCCATGGCTACAGATCGATTCTGAATATGCTGGTGCCTGCTGGAATATACGTCTTTGTACAGACAGGTAACTTCAGGGATCCTCTGGCAGTAGGTAACGTGTATTGAGCGATGGCAGGAAAAGTCCGTTAGAAACGAGAAACTTGAGGTATGTTCGCGTCATGCCGAACGATGGACCCGAATCATCCCTGCATTTTCTCCATCATTGCCCGCGTCTATGCGATAACGCCGATCTGGGAGGGAGGCAGCGACGAACTTGAAACGGGGCGGTTCGACTTGGACCACGCCGTGGAAAGATGGACAAAACCAATTTCGTTCCTCAACTCCAAAGAACCATAGTACCCGGATCAATGCGGCAAAAAGGTCGACTCGTTCGTCTACAATCCGAAGAGCAGAAGATTATTACGTTCTATGAATCATCATGAAGCCCTGCGGAAGATATCTTTCGTCTTCGAATAAGGAATGGGCAGAACCTCTTACACTTCCGCTGTCAAGCCCAGAGCGATCGACCGCACGAGAGTTGCCGAGACCGTTGAGACCGCTGATACGATGACTCTTGTTGTTGTAGGATCTTGTGCTGTGAAGGGACGCATTTGAGATCATTGCCGTTTGTGCTCGACCTGAGGGTCCACTGGCGGCAGCACCACCTAGTGCTTGATTTCGTTCGCTGAACTTGGGCAGAAATAGAAGCAAGAGAATAGTCGTTCCAATTATGCAGACAAGACTCGATTGGATGGAAAAGTGAGCCGAGGGATCCGTGTCGGTGGGAACCAGAAACAAAAAGGGAGCTCCGATGCACAGAGTCTCAAAGATACTGGCGATTGACAGCGTTAGGTACTTGGATTCGGAGAAGCTCGTGGGGAGTGCCCTGGCAACGTAACATTGGTAGAGAGCTACGAACACGGCACCTAAATTCAATACCGCCAGTGAAATCAGAAAAGGACCCGAAGATGAGACACTGCTGCTGCTGTCGTCATCGCCGCGCCCAGTGGATTGTTGTTCGGTCTGGCATATAGCGTAGGACTCGACACGACGACCGTAAAAGTCGATATGGTCCTCAAGCCATACTCGTTGGTAAGTCAACGGTGCCACCACAGTCCATGCCGTAAGAATTCCTACATTGAGCGTCATGAGCAGCATGAATGGCAGCAGCACATCTTGGGCGTGTACGGTGATTCTTTTCATTCCCCTCCCAGAAAGTATCAGTTTGCTCAATCGCCAAGCTTTGGCCATCAACGCCGAGATGGCAATGGTGTATCCCACGACAAACAACCACGGGGTAATCATGCAAGCGAGGTCCGCCCCTGCATTACCATTAGGATCCGGGACACCATTGTAGCTCATGGGATAGACGCTGGTCACCATGATGATGATGCCCACACACAGCTGGGCAAGGAAGATCGGCTGCGCCGCTCGAAATACTGTTCGATTTTTGTAGCACCAAGTCCCACCGAGGAAGACAAGGGCCAGAGCAATCGTGGCCGATGCCATGATCCATGCGACCACTTGAGCTGAAGAGGAAATAACCTTGAGATGTTCGCCGGCAATGGGAGGCAGCGCCATGGGCGGGATGGTGGTATTGTCGGAATAACGAAAGGGATTGCCTGCTGCGGGAACTACAACCATTTGGTCATTTGTGCTGCTGGATCGTATGGTTGCTGCCAGAAAGTGATCCAGTTTGATTTCTGTTTCTGTTGACTTTTCGTCTGAAAGTACCAGGGAGGTCATGGTGTACTGCACCGACGTTGGCAATCGAGTTCCCGTAATGGGATGAAAACGAACCATTCCAGAGGTTCCATTGAACTCGAGCTGTCGTAGAGTTTGATCCAAGTCCGGCCCTCGAAAGAGCCCTGGAGTTTGACAAGCAGCCAGCCCCAATGCCATGACAGCGTGGTAGTTTGCCTGAAAGTATAGATCCGCTCCAGGATATCCGTCCGTGACAAGTTGATGAAAATGTGATTGGTTATGGAATCGCTCGGGATAGGCTTGTTTGGAGTAAAACTCTTCTTGCAGCGCTGTGTCGGAACTGAATTGTTGCATAGCATCGGTCAAAGAAGGATGTGGTTCCAGACCTAGGTTGAGCACTCCCATTCCATTCAATCCTTGGGCCAAGTCTGACTCTGTTTCTCTGTCTAGAGCTAATTCGTTGTTGAAGAAGTAGTTGGAATCAGCCAGGAACCAAGTGTAACCTGGCATTCCCATGATTCCTCTTTGAATGGCTGCTCTAAAGACTGGTTTCCAATGCCCCGAGTACATGAGCAATACATAGTATCTCAAATCGTGTTGTGCCAATTTCTCCATTGCAGCTTCAATGTCAGGGTAGGTCTGGCCAGCACTGTCTGTGGTAGGTAAGTAAGGCACACTGATGATCTTCATTCCTGCCTTGCTAGCTTGCCTTTGTAGATCTGCTTGATAGGCAAAACCCCATGCATCATTGATATAGAAGCAGCCAACGTGTGTGACATTGAGGGACTTTAGGTAGACAGCAGCAGCCAATGCATCTCCATCCGTGGCTGGTACAGTTCTAGAGAACAAGGGACTTGTATCAAGAGTAGCATCCAGTTGAGAAGACGTAGATGTGCCACTGATGGATGGAATCTCCATGGCAGCACCGAGAATGCTGACCGGTATAGCTTCTTTGGAGTACACAGGCCCGGCAATGGCAAATGGCTCGGGGCTTTCCACGTTATTCAATACCCCATTTGAGAACTATTACTGCTTTCTTTGGATTAAGCATGGTATCCCGTGCCTGATAGGTCCAATGAAAGTCGCATTTTTCCAGAGCCTGTGGCAACCAAGGCAAGACTTTTCCATCTCGCTCATTGAAATGCTTCCAAGCCAAAAAGGTTGCTACTGACTGGTACAGCTTATCTACACGCATTCGCACTTGCCCTTGCTTGACTTGGGTATATCCCAACAGACCCAGTAGGTGTCCCACGCGGTGCCCGCTCTCAGTGTCTCGTCGGATACCGGTACTGCTATGGCCATCACTACTAGTAAGAGTACTCGTAGCACTCATGCTGCTATTGCTACCATTGCTATGAGTGGTCATGTCGTTGTTGGATTGTGGGTCAAAGACGGCGGTCATGTTGATCAGGGGACCTACTCTAGCTATCAAGGGCCGAATGCATACTGTAGAATGTAGAAGAGCTCAGCAGCTTTGGGTGGAGTGCAGGTATTGATTTGGTGATCGATGTGTGTTACCGGTACCAGGTACTAGTATGACAGAGCTGTTATGACCGCAGGAGCGATGAGGAGACGAGGAGACCAGGCCTCGGTTACTTAGGAGATGTATTTGAACGTACTTCCCTTTAATTAGAAAAATCTACTATTAACACTCTACTCCTCAGTAGGAATTAACATACTAGTACAGCAGGGACCAAGGCTGAATCTCAATCCACGCATAGGACAGAAAACCTATCACGCTCGCTATTATTTTAAAATAGCTAGCTATAATACTCCAGTACAGAGAGAACAGGTATTCTGGTATTCTTCCTTTCAGTTCCCAGTGTCAGTTCGAACGTTCGAACGCTCGGACTCCAATGGAAAACAGCAAATAATGGCTTCTCAATGGCGAGCTGGGTGAAGATCTGGTGAAGTTAGGATTTAATAATTGTTGTGTCAAAGATGAGCCTGGCGCACTTACATCACGAACAGCGAACAGCGCACAACAAGATCGATGAATAGAATGAACGTTGAGGAGTCTTAATGAACGTAAACGCCTTTAAGACGGAACCCTGGGAACCAACGGGAACAGCTATTGAGTACAATGTCATGTACCAGAGATGTATCAGTAGATTAGCCTCGCTGGCTACCGGTATGCCCTGAGTAACATCATTCTAGAGCTTATCTAGCTACCTAAGGTACTGTATGCATACATCATTACAACATACAAGCCCACCAAGACACTGAACAAGGAGTAGCGGCCCGTTCATTACATGTACAAGCAAACTACAGCGCCCACACTGGTTGATTAGTTGTTTGGGCCAGTCAGTTTGTTCGCAACTTGCTGACCTCTTTTTCACTTGAGTTGCACCGGAGAAACTACCGTACTATAGGAGATGATGCATAGATGGTAGAAAACCGCTGGTTGGCTAGTCTACAGAGGGCAGGAGTTGTCCATATTTACAAGCAATGGAACGCAGCCTCGGTGGTAACGCAGCCCTGTGTTGTGGTTGTGGTTGTGGTTGTGGTTGTGGGTTGAGTTTTCGGATTTATTTTACTCGCCTCCCTCTGCAGACGCGCAAGTGACGCAAGAAGCGGGTTAGGGATACAAACACTGAAAGGAGATCAAGTGTGAGATCAGGTGCGACGTTCAAGTCTACTAGTGCAGAGTACTTCGTGCCGACTTGATTGACTAACTCGACTGAGTCGTCGGTCTCAACCGCTGTCTGTGCCGCAGTTTGGTTTTCGCAAGAAAAATGCTGCAGCAATGACTTCTTTGGTGACCGTGACTGCATCGCACCATCCATCGCTACCTGAACCATGCACAGTCCCATAACTTTGCTCGATAACATCTTAACTTCGTTGCACTATGATCCATCAACTGAAAGCTAAGCTTGTATGTTTCTCTCTCCTCTCTTTTGTCTTAGCCGGCACCTCGGCCCAACAAGCTCCGGTGTACAACGTGGCTCAGTTTTCCAATGACACAAGCTTGCGAGTTCGACAAGACGTGTGCGAGCGGTACCGACGCTACGATCAAGGAGATGTGGAACTGCGACTTGCCCTGGACGGCATGGCGCTACGTCCGCTTGCCATTGCATCCAACTTTTTCCAATTGGATGACGAGGGCAAGATCGATGCCAACAATCCAGGCCATCAGGTGGACGTTCTGGATGAATTGGCACGCCGTGCGGGATTTACTTGGAGAGACTCCTTTGGTACCACTGGCTTTCTTCCTCCTGACACCACCCGTACTTACACGGATCTTTTAATGTGGGGAGCAGACTACTTTGATTTCTTTGTGGCCAGGTGGGCGAACTCGTTGGAACGCCTTCAAAGCGGGATTACATTCCCACAGGGGTTCTACGACGATTCACTGATTCTGGTGGCAGTAGCCGAACCGCCCAATGACACTACAAGCATCAACATGTGGCAGTGGTTGGAACCTTTTGAAACAGAAGTGTGGATCTGCATCGTTGTCACCATCTTGTGTTCGGGAGTTCTCTTTCAGATTCTCGACATGCCCACACCCAAACAGAAACGAAATAATAAACACAGAAAGCCAACCTTTAACGAATTCCGAAAACAACAGCAGCGTGGCTCCATCACTGCTGGCGATGACGGCGGAGGTGGCGACGGCTGGGACGACGACGATGTTGCTGTCCCTCCACAGCGACGACGAAGTTCCGCAGAGATGGGCGAAGCTGCTGCGGAAGCACTCTACGACGGCGCTCACACACTGGGGGATGGGATCTTTCTCTCCAGTCTACTTTTCACTCAACACTTTCAGTTTGTTCCCCGCACAAGTCCAGCTAGATTGTTCAGTGCATCCATGGCACTATGGGCACTGCTTATTTCCTCCAACTACACTGCCAACCTTGCCAGTTTCTTTGTCATTGAGAATGCGCCAAGTGTGGAAATTCAATCCATTGAGGAGGCTATTCAAGCGAGGTATCCCATTTGTATTTGGGGTGGCACGGCATCCGCAAAGTACATCACCGATCAGTACCCGCAGGCTATCACTGTAGAGGTGGACAATGACAACGAGGACATGTTCCGTGCCGTCAGAGAAAACAAATGCGCTGTTGGAGTCACAGCAAGAGCCACCTTCGAATTGTACAGGGACCAACATAGTGCCAACCCGGACTGCGACGTGATTTGGGTCGGCAGAGTTATTCGATATTCCTCGGGATCTTTTGGAGTCAAGGCTGATTCTGGAAAACTTTGCACCAGCCTCATCAGTGACGTGATCAATTTGCACCTCACCGAGATGAAGGCAGATGGATTCCTCGACAAAGCTTGGAACGATCACATGGCCAAAAGTCACGATCAAGACTGTGCAGCCCTTTCTTCTTCCAAATCAGAGGATGCAACAGCGAGTAGATCACTCAATGAAATGGCTGGGACATTCCTCATTCATTTGATATTTGCTGTTGCCGCAATAATACTCATGATCATTTTGCGGCTTTTCGAAAAGTATCAACAAAGGTCCGACGAATCACGAAAACATTTCCGCCAGAGTGTCGTGACGGGACGTCAAAGAACCACCATACCTGCGAAGGCTCCACTGCCGAACAGTACCGATACTGGTACATGCAGCAACGTTAGCATAGATACGGAGGAGGTCAACGCACCAGCAATCAGTTACAGTAGTCGCGCTCAACCACGGGTGGCCTTCAGCAGTGGAGAAACCCAACTGAATGATGTCTTGGCATATCTCAAGGCAATGGAAGTCACGAATCGTCAGAAGCAGAACGAAATGGAGGAAAAGCTGAATGCACTTGTGGAGCTCATGCAGAACCAACAAAGCAAAAACAAGCTTTCATCTTGGGATCTGTAAATCTTTGGGAATTTTTGTCTATCTATAGTTGGTGCCTTTGAGTTACGATAACCCACGTAGAATCTCCGCTTCCTCAGTAAACCGAAGTCGCCTCCGTCTCTTTTTGTGTCTTACCGGTACGGGGAATGTACCTAGTACAACCATCAAACCATCAATCTTCCTACTCGGAACCGTGCTGGGGTCGGCAGGATTCGATTCCGCCTCTTTGGAAGCACTTGGTTTGACTTGGTCGTTTGACTGCTTCAAAGTCCTCGATCCTTCCTCCACAAGCAGTGAGTTCCGCAGCAGCGACCACCTCCTCCTGGCAAATTTCCACGACATGCTTTTGCGTCGTGGAAAGCTCCGTCGTTGCCACAGTCTTGTCGCATCGACTTTTGGCTTTGACAATTTCTCGGTCATAGTTTGTTTGTACCAGCCCTGATCGCACGTATGGGCAGGCTCCAAGGGCTCAAGTCTCTCCGGAACCGTGTTAGGATCGGTGGCTGCCAAAGGAAATCATCTGGGGATTCGATTCCTCCTCTTTGGAAGCACTTGGTTTAGCTCGATCGTTTGACTGCTTCAAGTTGTTGGCTATGCGTAGCTTCACGCCTTCTGCAAGCAGCACTGCGAGTTCCACATTGCTGTCACTCGACTCGGAGGTCCCACGACTTCTCCTCTGCTGTGCACTTTCCACGACGTGCTCTTGTCGTGGAAAGCTCCGTCGTCACCACAGTCATTGTTGCATCATTTTTTGCCCCAGGGCTGCTGTGTTTAGCCGCAACGGCATCAAGAGCAGTTGGGAGGTCTTAGTATAATTCCCGGGGAGCTACGAGTACGTAGCCTGAATGCCATGCCCAGATCGAATCTTCTGCGCAAGCGGTTCCTCTAGCTATTTCTTCAGGAATCTTTGGTTAACTCAAGGCAGGGGGCAGGAGGTCTGGCATGGCGGCTATGATCTTGCGGTGCTCTAGCTAGCTAGTGAACAGAAAATGGGTACAGTATTATTATTCTCCGTCAGCTAAGTTGGATGATCATGCGTGGTCTCTTTGCTGTACCGATATATTACTGTAACTCCTGTACGGTACCTGAGTCCATACTGGGGGCCTGAGACCCATCCTGATCTCAGATGAGACTGGTACTGAAACACTATACTGTACCGTTACTTGCCTTTCTTCCACGATGCGTGCGCCAAAAAATCCCAACTTTCCGGGCGCAGCCCGGAAAGTTGGCGGGGAGCCTGGAGAAAAGGAGGAGAGCTGGGAGAATTCGGATAGTTGGAGAAAAGGAGGAGAGCTGGGAGAATTCGGATAGTTCGTGTTGGAGGTTAGTGCTCTGTTTGCAGGTTAGCTTTCCAGGAGTTTTCCACTAGCTTTCAGCTTTGACCCAACACCGTGATGGTTAGCTTTCCCAGTTCTCCAGCTAACTTTTATGGCAAGTTGGCTGAAGCAAGCAGTTGGTTTTGGGAAAAGAGCCCTATTTTTGGGTGTTTGCGAGCTATTTGAACAGGCAACGAGGTCTCCCAGTGAAGGCACTGGAGCTATGTGGAGCTCCCAGTGAAGGTACTGAGCTACATGAAGCTACTGGAGCTATTTGAAAGTGCCGATACCTCTATTACTGGTGCTTTCAAATAGAGAAGAGAACCGATAACCAACACCAACAACAAACTTGGCTATTCTGTTGCTTTTCAAACAGAGAAGAGAACCAACACCAACAAGAAACTTAGTTGATACTAGCATTTTAGTACTATTCTGCCTGTACAGCAACGAAAATGAGTCAAACAACTAATGCATGTAGTAGTCAACCTCTTCGGGAGAAGAAATTGGGAGAAGCACCAACATCTAATGCCACAAAGAATGCTGCTATCAAGCTGTATAACAAATATCAAACTATTCGAAAAGAGCCTATAATGGATCAGACGACTGCTACTTACATTGCGGAGGATAATTTACAGGCGCATCTTACCAAGTTCTGTTCTTGGCTTGCCAATATTAGCATTCCCCGTGGCTTTGACAAAATTGAGTTTCATTCATGGTCAACTCAAGAGCGTAGTAAATATCTGAAAGCATCAACAAAGTTGAATATGCTGGGAAGGTTAAGGAAGTTTTGAGGGAAAAGTTTCCCAATCATCTCATTGGAATGGTCACATCGGAGATGACAGCTCTTGGTGGTCCGTCATAAGAAAAGGGCTAGAAAAAGATGCTACAAGAACTCAAAATAATAATGAAGATGAAACGACAACACTGAGACCACTGTACCTTGAAAACTTACCTGGCTATCAACCAGTTGAAGTGCCACACAACAACCCAAACTCCAGAGCTATCAATGGCGATATATCAAAAGTGGATCTAAATGCAATCATTAAAAGCATGATCAAAGAGGATGATACGAGATCCGGATATACTGGTATCTATGAGCAGCGGGCTCAATTACTAATGACATGGCATGCAGTTGCTCGTGGTGGAGAAGCCAAATTCAATTCCTATAGTGACTGGCTTTGGACCCATACTTTAAAGTAGTGGATACCCAATGGATTGATATCAAAACTATCAACACATACTCTATGCCAATGATGCCACACAGATATAACTACAGAGTATGCTGGTACCATGCATGGGTTGTTACTATCTCTTGGAAGACGGCTTGTTTAGACTCCGATGAGCTCGAACGTGCACAAAGGTGTTTCCCAAGCTCCACAAAATCATGATTCTTCTGTCACAAAGAAGCTTACTGCACCATTCGGAAGTTCATTCCAGCCAAGGTATCAACTGAAGTTCGCAACAGCTTCTCTGCTAAATCAATGCGAAAGGGAGCAATCAACTTCCTAGCTGCTCATTCAGCAATGACTATTATGCATCACATGTGCGATCAGGTCACTCATTTGAACTTCTCAGGAGAGCTACATTGATCGGAATGCATTGGTTCTATCAATTTCAGCGGCAGAGGTTCTATCAATTTCAGCGGCAGAAGCTCTAAATGGCTACCAAGAATCTGTATACCTTGCCCCTACACCCCTCCGAACTTTGAGTGTTTGGGATCTGAAATTGAAGAGAGTGGAATGATTGACAGATTCATTGACGAGTTGTACACAATCTCTGATCAGCTGCCACAATTTCAATCTGGAGGACATCTACGACCTTTTCTTCGCACAGTGACAGCAGTGCTCATTATGTCAATTCCTGCTCTGGTAGATGACTTTGGTGTTACGAACAAAGTATATAGAAAGCTTTTTCAAGCAGCCCAAAGAGCTAAGCTTTTCGATGCAAACAATCCGGACAAATGGGTTCATCCTGGGGCCGTTCTAGAAGGCTGGAGGACGCATATCCAAGACAACTTTAATTTGGAGAATGATTTTGATGCTATGCCTCAAGAAGTAGCAACAGCTACCATGCTAGATCGAGTTGGTTCTCAGTTAGCTCAAATTGAAAAGCAAACCAAGGAGCTGAATCAAGCACTAGCAATGCAAAGGCAAACTAGCATGCAAAAACAACAACTTGAAGGAATCCTTCTATCGATTCAAAAGGAACAACAAGCAGTGAAAGCAATGGCTAGTCAGAACAAGGAGAAGTTGTCATTTATCAAAACCCCACCACGACAAAGAAGACAATTTGCTCAGACAGCTAGCATTTCACAATTTGCTCAGACAGCTAGCATTTCTCGCGTATCATTGCCACCCACTGCAGCACCACTGTCACAGCCATTGCCAGCACCCGCTGCAGCACCACAGCCAGCAGCAGCACCGCCACCGCCACTACCCCCCCAAGTTGCACGATCACAATTCAGCCAGCTTCCAGAATCAACACAGCAGCAACAATTCAGCCAGCTTCCAGAATCAACACAGCAGCAACAACGACTAATACCCATATCACAATCACCACTGCTACCTGCCAATCCCCAAATTACACGATCTCAGTTCAACCAGTTTCCACAATCAATACAGCAGCAGCAACAACCAACGCAACAGCAGCAGCAACCAATACAACAACAACAGCTACAAGCGCCAATATCAGCATAGCGACAACAGCAAAATCAACCAAAAGATGCCAATGCACTTCTGATGCGCAATCGTCAAGCTCAGAATAATTCCTCATCATGCAAAGGAATTTTGCTTGAACGACTTCTCTTGGATATAACTCCAATTAAGTGGAACGCAATCAGCCAAATTCCAATACCTGCAACACTGAAAGGAGAAAACGAGGCAAAGTGTATTCATGCTTTACGATTGGCTAAGATTGCTGGATCAGAAGAACATAAACTTGCTTTGAGTCCGACTGGAATTGGTGACAAGAGCAAAAGAAAAGAAGCGGCGAACGGGATAGCACATGCTTGCATGGAGACGCTGCTGAAGTTAGAAATAGAAGTTGGCTTGAAACCAGTTGGTAGCACAATTTCATCAAGGCAAAAGGGCACGGTGGTGGCACTCGGAATGCGCTATCAGAAATATCAAACGAAGAAAGATAAGCAACAACAGCTACAGCAAGAAAGATAAGCAACAACAGCTACAGCAGAAATTGCGACGACAGCAACAGCAACAGCAGCAGAGACAACATCGACGGTAGTAATTAGTAGCCATTACATTATCAGTTTGCTACTAGCTAGCTAGCTAAAGTAGTTTGTTAATTAGTGATGTTTGTTTGTTAGTTTGTTAATTAGTGATGTTTGTTTGTTACTGTTTGTTACTGTTGCTTGGGTGCGACGCCATTGCCTTCATTAGTGGTAGTGGTTGTTACTGCGAGATGTCATCTCTCTTTGGGAAGAATGGCTTCTATCAGAGCTAGGATGCTCTGGGAGCCCCCCAAGTGCTGCCAGCCGAATGGAACTTGCCATTCGGCTGGCTCTCTCAACTTTCCAGAGCCTACGGTGCGATCCTACGTGATTTCCCTGTAGCCCTGGAAAGTTCGCCGCCCATACTCAAAAAAGCCTCATCTCTAATGAGCGGTGAATGTTTGGGTGGGTGTGGGTCTGTTCTGCTGTTGATCCAGTGGCATCCCAGCGAACCTTTGCGCAAGCCAAACGTGTACATGTTTACAGGTTGCAAATTCCAGGTCAAAAGATAGATGCAGAGCCTCATTTTTCTTACAGCCCCAAGCAAACAGCATACTAAACAGTCGCAACGAAGCAATGATACCCGAGGTTGTAAAGAACTGGATTCCCCGTCTCCCCATGACGGCTCCATCCCTTGTGGGTCGCCATGTGCGCACAGACCCGTTGGATCTTTCCAAGGATATTCCTCTCCTTTGGGATGCCTTGGGTGGCAACGATGAAAGTATCAACGAAAGGCTCAAGTGGTACGGCTTTGCCGATTTGGGAAATGAACAAGACTTGTCTGATCTTCTCGAACGATTCCATCAGCCTGCAACTGGCTGTTGTGTCAACGTTTTCCGTCTGGTTCCCAGCAATCAAGTGGCCGGTATGGCTTCGTACATGGCAACTCGACCGGAGCACGGAAGCACGGAAGTGGGTCTTGTGGCCCACGGGCCCGCCATGGCACAGAGCCCCGCTGCCACCGAAGCTCATTATTTGTTGGCCCAGCATGCCTTTGAAACCATGGGATACCGTCGCTATGAATGGAAATGTGACTCGAACAACGCTCCCTCCAACAAAGCAGCCCGTCGCTACGGCTTTACATACGAAGGCCAGTTTCGCCAGCACATTGTAACCGCCAAGGGAAACAACCGCGACACCAACTGGTATTCCATGTTAGACTCGGAGTGGCCGCAGCGGAAAAAGGCAATGGAAGCTTGGTTGCATCCTTCCAACTTTGACCAGGATGGCAAGCAAAAGCATCAACTGCAGCATTTTCAGGAGAGCAACAAATAGCTGCTACGCTGTAAAGAGTAAAGGAAAGTGGTGGATTCACCCAATTCCGAGCCAACCAGCTTTACCTTTAAGCGAGCTACTAAATTTTCAAATTAACGATCTTCGTCTTGGAGGCGGATTTCTGGTTAGACCTGCGTGAGACAGGACTCACTCAACTGCATCCGGCATCAACAGCAGTCAGTTCGACGTCCTTCTCTTCACTCTCCTTCTCCTTCACAATGATGGAGCTCTGTCTCACTGCTCCGTCTGTCAACCTCAACAAGAGGAAGGAGATGACACCATGTGCTAGCTACGAAAACGCAGGCGGTCGCAACACGACAGCTCCGGCTTCCATTCTCGCTCTACAGCAACGTGGTCGTCTGTTGCTGTTTCTTGTCGTGTACCGGTATGTGAGACGTGTGTGACACTCTCTGGGCGGTGGCTCTTCCTTTCAAGTTGCGCGTGGAGACCAGTGACTTCCTCAAGCTGTGGAATCTACAAGGAAACCCCAGTGGAAGTTAGGACAGGCAACTGCCTCCTTCGAGTACAAGAGCACGTCAAGTCTTCTTTGTTACGTCAAGTCGAGCCCAGCAACGGTCAGCCAGCGGAAAGTCGGTGTTTGGGTTGGTGGCTCTTTTCCTGCTGCTGCAAGTCGGTACGTTCTTGTCGAAATTGTCGAAACTTGCAGTGACACTTCCTTTTTCTTTTGCGGTCGCCCTGCCCTCTTTCTTTCAGGTCTCCGTTGGAGTGACTGTCTCTCTACTGCTGGTTCCTTGCGCATGCGTTGGTTGGTTCGAGTCTCCCTCCTCGTTCCTTTTCTTGGTTTGGCCGAGTTACAGAAGGTGTCTGGTATAATCCTGGTGTCTCTTTCCCTCTGGTAAAACCTGCCTGTCTCCTGGCCTCCTCGTTTGGAGCTTCCTTCCTTTGGTTCTTTCCTGCCGTGCTAGCTAGCTTTTAAAACTACTGACTTTTGTTTGGTCGGGTGGGTGCTGTAGCACGCTCAGGGCTCCTACCGGTAGGCTGGCCCTACCCTGTGCAACACTCACTCAACTTTGTCTCTTCCCACCCCACTCTTTGCCGCTCAAGTCTTGCTCTGAAGAACACACCGACCAAACAACCGACCAGCCATCCTCTTTCGAACCAATGGCCGAAACGCTCCGCAATGACACCTCTATCACTAATGAAACAGTCGGCTTCGTGGCACCGGTACATGTAGCGCCAAGCCGCTTGCTTCTTGTTGGTTTCGTCATGGTGGACCGATCGATCCAAGCAGCGAAGTAAAAGTTTTGATTTTTCGTTCGGCCTGCAAATGCAGGGTACTGGATTTAATTAAGGGCATGATGAAAGACTTAGAGACACAAGAGAATTTGAACTACTGCAATAAGCTCGAAATACTACAATAAGCTCGAAATACTGCAATAAGTTCGAAATACTGCAATAAGCTCGAAATACTGCAATAAGCTCGAAATACTGCAATAAGCTCGAAATACTGCAATAAGCTCGAAATACTGCAATAAGCTCGAAATACTGCAATAAGCTTAAAATACTGCAATAAGCTCGAAATACTGCAATAAGCTCGAAATACTGCAATTTTATTTTATTAAAAAGGAAGCTCGGAAGAGCCACTATAGTCGAAGTACGCTCCGCTCTGCCCAACTCTTCAACCACTCCCTTCCTTCCTCAAAGCACAAGCACCGACACATTTTACCCAGCGCGCTGCTCTTGCTCCCAAACCAACCTTCACTTTGCTCTGGTGCACTCGGCACAGAGCGACCCACCCTCTGAGTGGCTGGCTGGTCTTGTCGTTGACCGGCATCTTCAGTCAACCACCGGAGTTGCGCGACCCAGTCCTGGTCGCTTACTTGCCCTCCCAAGCTACGTCCTGACGGTTTTTTCAAGTGGGCCGTTCTGGTTTGGGCTCTGCCTGAAGGTCTGTTGGTGCTTCCTCTTCTTCCTTTGGTCAGGCCCTGGGCACTCTTCTTCGGCTCGCTTCTCTCCTTAGCTAGCTAAACTACCTCGATCGCTTTGTTGCGACGAGCCCCACAGCACACCTTCGGGGGCTTTGGCTGGGTGCCTGCAGCGTGGCTCAAGACAGTCTTCCTCTTTGAATCTGACGGCCGTACTCCCAAACCTGCCAGCCAGTCTTGAAGAACACTTCGGTTTGCTCGGCTCTTCAAAGCCTCTCTGTTCCTACGAAGCACCCAAACAGCTCTTACCCTACCCGGAAGCAGCCAGAGAGACCCAAAAACAGACCAGTCTTTTCGTTGCCAAAACCCTACAGTCCTGGTCACTCACTTCGCCCTTTCCAAACCCTGATTTCCTTCCAGCGCGCACTCTGACGAATGAAAGTGGTGCTTGTTTCTTCGGAAACCTAGACTGAGAGGTGGTGCTGTGCTCAGTGTCGACAGCAACCGTTTTCTCTTGCGCTTCTAGAGTCTACCGCTTTTGAAACACCGCGACTTGTGCTGTTTCCCCAAGTCGTGCGCTTTACTGGTTGGTCTTCGTATTCGTATTCGTCTTGGAAGACCCTTCTCGGTGGTGTCCGGTGTCTAGTGACGTGTCCTCAGAGATGGAGTTGGTGTGTCTTGCTTTTGCTAGCTAGTCGAGTGTTCTAGTTTAATTAAAACACGTAGTCTCAACCTTCGCGACGAGAGTTTGCCTGCTACACGTGCTGCTGGCTGTCTTGAGCGACGTTTTGCGTTTTGGGTCCTCTCTTGCACTTGAAGTTAGTTTGAGTGACTTAAAAAAGAATAATGTAGTAAGTAAAACTACCTAGCTAGCTTGACCAAGCCTTTTGGACTATCTTCTTGGACAAGTCCCAGAGTCCGACCACTGCCACTTGATCTGCCGCTTTCTTGGATCCATTCAGTGTGTAGGTGGTGGGTGGACCAAAGAGTAGGAACCCAAACAGGTTGAACCGGTGTGGTTCCAGAAAGTCATTTGGCTTGACATTTGGGTCCGTGGCAGCGACCAAATGTGTACGGCATCCTACGTCAACCGGTTGGCGAAAGAATTGCAGGAGGGCAGATTTGTCGGGCTCAGCTCGTTGGACCAAACCCGGCTCCAAGACGGCAGCCACCGCCTTGGTATCTGGACCGAGATTCTTTTGGAATTCCTGGTTGAGTTTGACTGTCATTTGCTGTTGGGCCAATCTTGAAGCAAAGTAAGCCTGCTTGACATTGTACTCTCCCTTGGCGGCTCGTTGAGACCAATTAAAGTCCGGTAGGTCAACGGCGTTGGCGTAGTTTTCTGTGTTGGAGAAGAAAGTATTGCATGAGACAACTCTGGGTGCCTCTGATTTGAGCAAGAGAGGCATGAGACCGTGGATGAGTGCAAAATGTCCCAAGTAGTTTGCTTGCATGAAGAAGTCTTGGTCATCCTTGGTGAGCTGATGTTTTCCCGGTTGGCCTTCCTGGATAAAGGTAGAAACGCCGGCATTGGCCACGACAATATCCAAGTGATTTTTATTATCTGCTGAGTTAGCGTGATCTTTCTGGTAGTTATCCACAAAATACTTGACACTAGCGAGATCACAGAGATCACAAACGCCGTAGGCAATGTCGGCCCTGGGAAGTTCCTGCTTGACATCAGCAACTGCTTCTTCTCCCTTGTTGGCGGAACGACAGGTAATCACCACTGCAGCTCCCTGACGAACTAATTCCAGAGCCGTCTTGAGGCCTAGTCCACTGTTTCCGCCAGTGATTATGGCTGTTTTGCCAGAGAGATCAGGAAGGTTGTACGGATTGGTAGAACTACTTGTACTAGTAGCAGTGTTGGCCATGGCTGCAAAGTCACCAAAGAAAACAAAAAAAACTGAAATCCTCTTCAACGCGGTTATAGCCTGGCTGAACCGGTAGGGTAGAGAGGAATGGGATCACGGGGTAGTGAATCCACTAATCAAGATATTCTTGTCTTCAGTTTTCTTGCTTGGGGCTTTAAAAACCTCAACCCAGTTATGTCCTTGGTTAATTGTCGCTTTGGGATCTCTACTTGCGGCTGTACCGGTTGTTCCGGTCTGTTGGATTTTTGGTCGACTTGGATTTTGCTGATGTCATGCAAGGGATTGGAAACTAAAGTGGCTTGCCCGTGGGAATTGATCGCTGACGAGCAAGCAACCCGACAGCGAAGCTCACAGCTTCAATTTATTCCAACGAGCAGCCACACACAGCTCGAAGGAAGCAAGAACAACCCTACCACTGTTGCTTTTCGCATTTATCTTTCTGCCTTCCAATCAACCATGGGTACTGCAACCTCCAAACTTGTTGAGAGCGGGGTATTGCAAGGCGCATATGCCCCACCTGTTGAAGGACTGGCTGTCCCTGCACCTTTGGAAGGAGGCAAAGAATGTGAGGTTGTCATCCCAAAAGACAAGAAAAAGGGTGATACGTTCCTGTATGATGTTGGAAAAGGTCGAATGGAGACTTTGACAGTGCCCAAAGGAAAGAAACCTGGCGACACAATCATGCATCGAACCATGGGAGAAATTGAGAAGGTCATTGCAAGCACTTTGCACGCCATTCCAGGCTTTATCGTAATCCAAAGTAAGCCTGTCATTTGGTCGTAAGTCAAAACATTGATCAGACAAATTGGAGAGTTAGCTACCGGTAGGTTCAGTTCTTCCTTGGCTGACACCTGTTACCTGTTACCTGGTACTGAACGGACAGCACTGCTTCAAAAGCCTTCTTCAAAGCTTCGTGGAATGATCGTAAGTGAAACGTCTCTCTCTCTCTCTCTCTCTCTATGTCAGTCCGCCTGTGTACGGTAGCATCTCACTAATCTGCCACCACAACCAACATCTTCCCTTCAGAAAAGGAGAATCTGTCTATGGCCAAAGCCATTGGAAAGCTCATGCAAGAAGCACAAGAAAGCATGCTATCAAAGGCTATTGATCTCGGATGCAACGCTGTCCTAGGTATGACAGTCAACATCACAACCGACAGCAGTGGATCAGAAGGAAACTCAAAACTTGTCATTGTCACAGTTTGTGGAACACCATGTGCGGTTTGTCCCGCAGGAGATATTCCTGCCGTCAAGGCAGATGTTGTTGTGGAACCACTATACCTAAATCAGGTCTTGTAGGAGGCTACATGACTTCATGAATCTATTACCTGCCAACAAGCCATCTACAGTCATGGCAAGTTGACAAAACTTCAAAAGTTCCCACACAACAACAACAATAACAACACCGATAGATTGAGCCAGTTACTGTTTCGAATATTCAAAGGATTTGGCCAAGGAGTTAACTGACAAAAGAGTCAACCAATCGTAGCTCCAAGGAAGCAATTCCGTGAGCGAATCGAATCAACTGCTTATTAGGTTGCCTCTGAGACACCGTTTGGAAGCGAAAGTTACACCGAGAGGATCTGCTCAGGTTTCTCGAAGTGGTCCATGGTAGCTTCATTAGCTAGAGACAGGCGGCAAAACTGTTGCAGTCGACTGCAGCTTCTCCTGCCTTTGTGGGTACGTTACGTGGTCCAAGCATACAGTACTTGTTTGGCACCCCTCACGTGTAGAGTGTGCAGTCACTAGGAACGAGATTGTCCTTGAATCTGTCCCAGTCTGCTTCTACCTGACGAGTCCTCGGAATTCCGAATGCAAGCCTTCGGCCCGCAAATCGATTTGTTTGTTGTGGTAATATAGTCATTGGAGTCTTGGTCGGCCCGTGCATGAGCCGTGGCCAAGATGACGCCCCATTGCTCCGCAATTTCCTCGTAGTCTCCCATTCGGTCAATGTCAACGGGGTCGAATATCTCTGCGTACGGCGATAGTTCCTTGACACTAAAGAATCCACTAGAGGGCAGGTTGGTCCATCCCAGATGTTTGTCCGGCTCGTCAATGAGTGCCTTGTATGCATGCCACGGCATGTCGATGTGCATGATTGACGCCAAAGTGGTCGTCGTAGTGTGTGCGCGTACTGCCCCCCAAGTATGTGTATGCGGTAGGTGTTGTTTGCAGAGTGATCTCGTGCTTTGGTCCACCCACCACTCCGACCCCGTGCTTCGGTCGACTGTCACTCGTTGCTTCGTGCTTCGGTTGACTCACGTTTGGGTCGCATGGTGGCTCTCTCTTGCTGTAATTGGCCCTCGCTGCTCCAGTCTTCAGTGCCCACTGCTAGTAGCAGTAGAGAAGAGATCCCGCCTTGGTTGCTTTGGAGGAGACCTTGTTTGTGGCACAAACACCCACAGCTGAATTGGCAAACTGGCTGTACAAGCCTTCTGCTGCTCCAGTCTGCTTACGTTAGCAGACACAACCAGGGACGAGCTCTAATGGTGATGGCTCATGGTGCCGTGGTGTGGACTTGGCTGCTTTGCTTGCATTTTAGTACTCTCTACAATGCAATGGTGGTTTCATGTTACTAATACCTATACCGTTCATGTACTCAAACAAGCAAGTAGTCTAGAGCAGAACTATTGCCGAGTGACGAGACGAGTCAAGAAGAAGCCAACTGCACGTCAAAGGTCCAGGCCTAGGGGGCCCTCCCAGGCTGCACACGTTCCTGAGCCACTGTACTAGTACGCAAGACCAGTTCTGGGATTCAAAGGCAGATGAAAGGAATGTTGCTTCGAGCCTATTAAAATACTACAGCTTTCTTTGGGCGACCAACACGAGAGTCGAGTCAAGTGCATCTAAAGAGCCCCAGCAGGAGAATTCTTCAATCAGATCTCCGGCTGGGAATCTACCTGGTGTTTGGCAGACGATTGCTGCCTGTTCTTGCTTCGTTGTGTACAGCTAGCGAGCTAGCTGCTGGGCAAACTTCCTATGATGGGCTGCTGATTGCCAGGTCAGGTGCTGGCCACGGGATAAAACATGTTCACACTACCACTTCAATAAAGTTATTAGCTACACACCTCCATCTTCCGTAGGACATCGATCGACTTGCTCCTGGGAATCTCCAAGAATGTCACCCAGGCCGAAATAGAAGCAAAAATCCTTGTGAGGACACGAGCTAGCCAGAAGGAAAGGTACAGTAGGACTCCTACTGTCCCTCCTCCACATCAAAGCTGTCCAAACCATCTCCATCGTGGTCATCAGGAGAAGCGGTATTCTTCTGTTTTTGACGGGCGCGTCGCTTCTTTCGGAGAGCGGCATCAGCAGCATCGCTGCTCAAAGTCCTTACAATAGCCTTAACTCGAGCTTTGTCTTTTGCAGTTTCCGCTGCGGCCAGCCCGGCACCACTTTGCCTACGACGTTGGACCCGTTTTGTGTCGTCCTCTTCAATGTCATCTTGTCGGGTTTTCCTTCTAGCACGAATTCGCGCTCTTGCAGCCGCTTCGGCTGCTGCCGCCTGACTATCGGTCCTGTAGTTTTTCCTATCTTGTTCACTAGTGGTGCTTCCTCGACGAGCACGAGCCCGTGCAGTGGCGGCTGCAACAGTTGCTTCAGTACGCTTCTTTCTGCGACGTGGGGTCTGCTCCTCCGATTCTTCATTTTCGTAGTACGTTCCACCAGTAGTCTCGTGCCGGGCTTGTGCTGCCAACGCCGCAGCGGTGGCAGTATCCCGTCGTTGCTGCCTCCGACTGTCGCGTTCCTCGTCCTCGACCAGGTCCAACTCACGAGCACGAGCAGCTGCAGCTGCCGCCGATGCCCCACGCTTCTTTTTCATTTCATTGTCCTCCGTTGCCGATGATCGAAAAGCCTGATCTCCTCGCTCAACCGAATTGCCACGAGGACGACGCCTTGGACGATGAATACGCGGAGAAGGAGCCGGGGCATCTTCTGCAGCTCCTCTTCCAGTAAACTCTTCGGAGTGATTGTCATCCGAAATGGCTTCTGTCAGTGTCTGCGACTCTTCGGTCGCCAAGGATGGATCCACCACCTCCCCCTCCGAACCATCCGCAACTTGCTCAAAATTATAGGCTTGTGCGTTCTTCTTGTCCTTCTTGCTCTTTCCCATGACTTTTCGCTTGACATCTTGTAGAACCTTGGCATTGACTCCCTTGTTGACCTCCTTTTTGACCTTTTTCGTAATGGCCGAGAGCACTCCCTTCTTTTTCTTCTTTTGGATTTCGTCCAATCCGCTGGTTGGACTGTCAAGAAAGGCAGATTGTTGCTGTTTCAGTTTTGCCTTGGTTTCAATTTCGGCCAACAAGGCTTGTTCTCTCGTTGGAAAGTCGACGAGTAATTGACCGGGTTTTTGTTCCACGAGGTTGGCGGGTCCACGATTGGGCTCTTGTTGTTGCTGTTGTTGTTGCTGCTGATCTGTAGCCAATAGCGACTTGCGTCGGTTGGTTAGATTATTATCCTCTGGTTCCAGTTCAAAGACACTGCAACTGGCATGGAGGGAACTTCGTGCGGCAGCTGTACTGGCCCGTCCTCGTCGATTTCGTGCGCGGCGTACTGGCTGGTGCGCCACGGCCAGAACGTTACTGAACGATTGTGCGAATTTTGCAGGCATGTCCTCGTCTTGGTTCTTATTGTTGTTGTTGTTGTTGTTGTCATTGTCGTCGCCGCCCTCCATGGGCAAGTGATCCAAAAAGGAAATGGAACCTTCTCCGACGGCGGATGTGGATTTTCGGATCGTCTCATTAATGTTGATGTTGTTGTTCTTGTCTTGTTGGTCCATTTCGAACAATGCTGCACTGGACTGATCGAGCGATATGGATTTGCGCAATGTCTTTTTCTTTTTTCGTTCGAGGCGTTCTTGCTGTTTTCGCCGACTGAGACTACCTTCATTATTGTTATTATTATTATTTCGTTCGAATCGTCGTTGTTGATTGGGAGAATGACTCCCTCGCCTCTTGTTGTTGTTGGAGGAAGAAGCGAGGGATTCATCCTCTGTAAGATTGTCTTGTTGTTCGTCTCGGCGTGGTTTTCCGGAATGAGTTCGTCCAGGTTGACATCGATTGGGCGAGGCACTGGCATCTCTGCGTTGCTTTCCGGAATGAGTGCGTGCGGGTTGAATTCGAGTATTGGGAGAAGCACTGGCGTCCCTCCGTTGTTTTCCCGAATGTGTGCGTATGGGTTGACTTCGATTGGGAGACGCACTTGCTTCCCGTGGTCGTGGCCGTTGTTGTTTCCCAGATGTCGTTCGTTCTGGCTGATTGGGTGATAAAGAATTGTTGCTGTGGTTGTTGTTGTTTGCCATGATGGACTCCTTGCCAGAGCGTGTCCTTCCAGGCCGGTCACGATCTCTTCCTCGGGTGGCATTGCGACTACGATCTCTGTTCGTTTTGGCGGTGTTGGTACCATCTCGTTCTCGATCTCGTTCGCGATCACGTTCACGGTCTCGTCTGGCTTCCCGTTCTTTTTCTCGATCTCGTTCTCTGTCCGTAGTATTGGTATTGGTACTGGTATTGTTGTTGGATCGACCGGTTGGATTTTTACTTCGTTTTCTCCTGGGTGGAACATTTTTTGGGCTTTGCTGTTGTTGCTCTTGTGTACCAGTAATACCGGTATGATCGGAGGATGGCGTCATCACTAACGGTCGATTGGGTGATTTGCTGCGCCGCCTTCGACTGGATCGAACGACATCGGCATCACTTCGACTTATCATCCCAGTTTGGGTAGTATTTGTCGTGTGCGTGGACGTCATGGTGGCGCCACTATCTCGTCTTCGCGACGATCGTACAACGTCCGCGTCGGATTGGCTAATCCCGCTGGCATTGGCGTTACTGCTGATCAAATAATTGGAAATGGTCCCGGCACTTTCTCTTCGTGGCGTTTTGCTTCGTTTGCGTGGTTTGCTACTGGTATTGGTATTGGAATTAGAAGCATTGGCAGATGCAGATGGCTTTTTCTTGCGTACTCGATTGCTATTGGCGTTGCTATTGGCGTTGGCGTTGGCGTTGCTATTGGTAGAACTCCTCATACCAGCACCTGAAGCTCTGGCACTCCTAGAAGCTGCACCTGCACCTGCACCTGTAGCACTGGACTCTGTCTGATGAGAGACAAAGGAATCTTGCCATGCTTCACCTCCTTCAGCTTCACCTGCTTCATCTTGATCTTGATCTTGACTATCCTGATCCCTGAGGGAGAAACTCAAGCTGCCTTTGGTATAGAGCTGATTTGGATGTTCCTGATCTTTTGGACTTTGGCTCTCTTCAAAGTACAAGCCAGCTTCAAACTCGGAAGACTCCACTTCACCTTCAGCTTCAACATCTTCCTGGGAATGAGCACTCTGAGCTGACGACCTTAATATGTCTATGTTCCGCTTGGGAGATTTGGATCTCATTTTTCTTCCTTCTTAAGATTGTTTGAACTTAAGAGTAAGGTAAGGCTAAGTGAAGCCTTGACACCTGATGTATCTTACTAGCTAGTACTGGTATAGATGTAGCTATAATAGAAGTAGCTACCCTGATCAAGCTCCAAGCTAGACAGGGCTTTACAACTATTTGTTCTCTCAAACAAACTATGAGCTTCGGGGTATCTTGCCTTCCAGTCTTCTATCTTTCGCCGTTGTTTTGTTTACGGGTTGATGGCTGTTCTCCGCGTTTCTCAAAGTCATTGTCTCGCGGTCACAGATACTCCAGTAAGGTTGGAGATATGGCACCAGTGCGCACCTCGACTTTCACTCGGAATTGGCAAACTCGGAACCCGAGGGCTCGATCCACCATGTGCCAGTCGACCTCACCTGAACAACTTACTTGGAGATGATGCGAGCCAATTCCATGCTGCAAGGCAACTCGGAGGTGCCCAGTCGCCAAACCAGTGCTAGCTATAATAGAGCTGTGAATCGAAGCAACACTTGGATAGAGGTGGAGTGAAGATTCTGCAGTACCTATACAGCCAGCCATGTATGGTGGTCTGGGTTTCACCCGTTTCCGCATGTACTGCTACCGATAGCCGTACAAACATGCTCCCTTTTGTGGATTACATGTATGCATACCTGTGGAGTACCGTGGGACATCCAACCTGTCCTTTCTAAAGGCTCACTCAATCTATCCTACCGGAACCACCAGGTAGCTACCGGTTGTACGGTAGGCCAGGCATTGTCAACGCAGCTCTGATGGGTTTAATGATTTGATAAAAACCCTTTTTACTTGCCACGCCCTTTCCTTCTCATTCACTTAGAGAGGTCGGAAAGAATAGTGAGAGGTCTTTCTTTGGCAGCTGCAGTTTCCGCATGTTCCGAGAAGAGACGTCTTTGATTGGCAGATGGTTCCAACCAGATGTCAAAATTGATAGCCATAATGTCTTTGGCAGCACAAGTTCCGAAGTTTGAACTTGTCTTCCTCACAAAATTCAAAGTAAAAAAATTCAAAGTGTCCTCCCAGCCATCACATTTCCATCACTCTTTACTCTTCACCGAATTCAACTCAAACCCATCAATTCAATTCAATTCAAAATGACGATCAAGATGAGATCCAGACTGATGCTAGCGCTCACAGTACTACTAGTACTAGTGCCTAGCTCTACTAGTGGGTTCCAAGTAGTGTCCACTATAGACACTAGTACCTTGTTGAGTCAGATGGACACTTTCTGGCAGACTTGTCCTTACACTGCAGCTGCGCTGGTTTGTGGAGTCAAGGCATCGGCGGCAGACATGATTGCTCAAAAGTCAGTACTGACTCCTACACAAGAAGAACCTACAGTAGTAGTAGAAGTAGAAGAAGAGTTTGATTTGGATGTCAAGAGAAACGTGGCGTTTTTGCTGTACGGCAGTTTGTACCAAGGAATGGTACACGAATTTGTGTTCAATCACTTGTATCCTGTCTGGTTTGGGACTGGAATTGACCTGCAGATTGTACTGACAAAAGTATCTTTCAATCTATTCATTCAAACCACACTAGTCACTCTACCAGTGGCATACATACTCAAAGCACTGGTCAACCAAGTAGCTACAGATTCAGATTCACAACAAGAATCTACATCTACACAACCAGCACAATCACAACCACAACTGCAAGTAAAAACACAAGAACCAAAAGTACTCCAATCTGCATTTGACAAGTACTGGCATGACATTCAACATCAAAACTTGCTGGGAAAGTGCTTTGCCATTTGGGGACCTGTGCAGTGTCTCACGTTCACTGTCATTCCAGAACACTACCGAGTCACCTTTATTGCCATGGTCTCTTTCTTTTGGCTCATTATACTCAGTCAAATCAGCAGCAATGATGAGGATGTACATGCCCAACAGGTCACTACTACTGTACAAAAGACTGATTGAATCATTCAATCCCCATCTACATGTGCCAACCAATACACATCCATCCATCTATCTATCTGTGCTGCCTGTTGCATGTTGCATGCCAGCAGAACCAAAACGGAAACAGACAATCTGTCATTGGGCGCGGGTTCGATTCAAGGGAACTCGACTGTCACACTCGTACACAGTTGCGCCTTGTACTGTACTACTGTATCTTATCCATGGTACACTATTCAAAACTTTTTATAATTTTATTGCATGGAGTCCCAATCCGTTCTTCTCCAATGCTAACGGCATACCGGTACACTTAGGGTTGCAGATTGAGTCTTTCGAGCTATCCGAAGGATCCACCATTTTCTCCTGACTAGAACTAAGCTAGCTGCATGAATTGACACCATAAAACGTCCAATATGCCACTTGCTTCGTTGACTATCGGTAGCTCTCCGTTGGCGTGTCATGTTGTGCTGTGTCGTTTCGTTTCGTGCCGAGAAGCTCCGTTGGTACGAGTACGGTAATCGATTTATGCATAGGGCAGCCGACGTCTTGAACCGTTTTTGAGAGTGATACGCAAAGCACCGGCAGTTTCGTAAGCAGCGTTCGGGTAGCTGTTCGGGTCAGGCTATTGGTGTGAAGGCCGCGAAAGGACGCCTCATGCAGGAAGAGTCTTTGCGTCGCAGCATGTCGCTGTACCGTCCCGTACTAGTACGCAGCAGACCCCGGGCACCTCAATGACGACTCGACTCGGTTACTCATGCACAGCCTCTCGACAGCCCATCCGTAGATCCTTTTTCTCTGCACGCTTCTTACAGCGAAGACGAATTCGTTTGAATCTTGTGTTCTTCTAGCTAGAATGTATACATGTAGAATATTAAGTTCCTTCATGCACCACCAGCCAGCCGTCACACTGGATTGCGACTAGGAGGTACTGTCGTTGCCGATTACGTCCAAGCTGCCGATATGTACGTATTGTGAGCAAATTGTTCCATCATCAGAACGCTTCGATAACATCATTTATTTGCTTGCAAATTGTCATTGTCAATATTGTCATTTTCATTGTTGTCGTTTTCAGTGTCACCATGGGGCCGAAATCCCGTGTGGACCGAGACGCTTTTCAAATAGACGGGCACCGCCATGGCCTTGACGCATCGCATACGAACTTTGCTGGCTGTCGCGGGAGCAGTGACCCAATCAATCAATAAATTCCCTACGCTTTGTCCATGCACACCCGGCAGTGCCACCCACTGGTGGTGGTGATGATCGTAGTAATCCAGGCCGTACTGAACGATTCGTTGTCCCTTGGACAATTCTTCTCGCAAAATGACTGCATTGAACGTCGGCGGCGTCGACGACGATGATACATTCAATTGCAATTCGATCAGCGTCGTATTGTCGCATTTGGGTCCGACAATGGTTTTGTCGTGGGATGATGCCGCATGGACCGTGTCAAACAAGGATCGTAGTGCCTTGCCAAATAGTTTTATTTCGTGCACCAAACCCGAAAATATTTGGCCGGTGGTACATACGGGTGCATTGAGTGTATTGATCCATCCTTGTCCGACGGATTGCATGTAATGATCCCAAATATCTGCCGCCCTCCAATGTTTCTGTTGCGCTCCGTCTTGTTTGCAGAACCATCCGTGAGTCATGGTGGCGCAAGCTTCGTAAGGATGAAATCCGGTAAGGCTTGGATCGGGAGCATGGTGATGGCAAGTAAGTGTAGTGTTTGTATTAATAGTATGATGCTTGCCGTGAGGAGGAGGATCTGGTTGACAAGGATTCCAACTGGGATAGTTTCCAATTCCTGATTCTCCTTGGTGTCCATCGCAATCGGGTCCTGGACAAATGATGGTGTTTGGCGATTTTTCTCGTACGAGTTGAATGAATAGCGGCCAAGCATCTGGAAAGGATCCCTCAGGACAGGGTGAGAGTCTGCTGTGTTTTCCATCTTTGGTGGCACATCCTCCTGGATAGTGATCCCACCAGAGTCTACTTGGTTTGACAGGGTAGTTTTCTAGTAGCTCCGTGAGCATGCCTAGTTGTGCCTGCACAAACTGGTGTGGGGTATACTGTTTCAAGTTGGACAGATATCCATTGGCATTGGGTCCCATGTAGTAGCACGGCTTTACCTTGTATTTCTGGCAACTCTTTACAAACTGCTTAACAATATCTTTGCCATACGGCGAGTGCATGACAGAGTAGTCGGAGTACTGAGTGTCCCACAGACAAAAGCCACCTTCATGGTGCGCTGTCAAACAAATCTCCTTGGCGCCCAGGGCTACGGCAGTTTGTACCCATTGATCCGTAGACAAGTTGGTAGGATTGAACTTGCTAGCTGGAATGCAATCAGGCGAAGTTCCCACGCAATTATGTTCTATAGAATCAAACGGATTCACTGAAAAGTGGATAAACATGGAAAGACCTACATCCAGGGCTGAAAGCTGATTCACAGATGGAACTGGAGGATCTACACTCGTACCGGTACTCACGGTATCACTCCTTGCAAACACAAGCAATGACGCAAACAAAAGACACAACCAAAAACGGAACATCTTTACTATGATATCCTTCAGTCTTCCCTTCTTCTTGGAACAAAAATGAGCTCGAGACTTCAGGCAATTGAGGGAAAGATACGAAGATCCAAATAAGCCAGCAAGAGAATAAAAGCATCTAACTAAGGTTAGAGATTATTGGGCTTTTCTTTGACTTATCCGAGCCCGCTGCAAGCTACCAATAGTAGCCCGCCTTGAAACGAAACTTGCATTGGGTGTGACTTCCTAGCATTATGACACAATACGGGCCAGCTTTGTCCTTAGTGTGGCTGTGCCCTTTGCTACCCTATTGTAGCTTGATTGCTCTTTAACCAATCAGGAATTCAGCTGCCCAATCGACGGAATATATAGTATCCTGGTCTAATCAAGGACGATGATGTGTGGATGGGTGTTGCATGCTTGTGTCACCGACCGAGTGCAGTCAGCACCGAAACGAAGCAGCTACCCACATGTAAATGTAGCTTATCGTCTCCTCGATCGTCTTTGGCAAGATACTGCCAGTGATCAAAACGATACGGAGACGACTAATCTATATAGTGTCAGAGCTGAACTGGTCTCATCTTCTCGGAATGGTGGGAACCACTGGATCGAAGCCTTGGAGACCTCGGGGACACGACACGACAACTCACAAATGCACGTATCCTTGGCTCGTCCTCGAGAGACTTCAATGGTGTATACCAGTAGGGCACTCAATCGTTTCGCTAGAACCGAAATCTCCTGCCCCCGTAATGTGGTTTGCGACGTTGTCTTCCTCGATTACATGTACAACCTTGGGCATCCGAACTGGCAATCTAGGTTGCACCCTGGATGCATCCGTGCCTACACGGCAGTGAAGTGAAGGTACATGTACCTGATCCAGATCTCCCAAGACTACCGGCACCATGCATCTTAGCTAGGCAGACGGGGAGAGAGAGCGTCTTTGGTTGCACCACCGATTGGCGGCGACACAACTTCCGCATTACACCAATGATTCGGTATCTCGAGACCAAGAAGCAAGGAGACGATTGCACGGAGACTTTAGCGTGGTCCAAGGCAAACATCCAGCCACGGAGTCCACCAAGGGGAAACGATTAGCTCCGGCACGTCGACTAAGGTTCTACAATTGTCGAGGGGATTGTCGACTCTACCGGTACATGTAGGAATGGCTGATTCGACCTGCCATTGACAAGCGGCGTACTGGCAAGTCATACCACAAGGCCCACGAGGAGCAGCTGCAAGAGAACCAGGGAATGGTAATCATTGTGATCGTGAGTCTGAGACAAGAATGGAAGTGACCTTTTTTTGGATGATTTTTGAGACGACGACGACGACGACGACGACGACCAAATACCGGAAGGCACTGGGAACTTGTTCCTCCCTCTAGTGTCACCTGAGCAGCTTGTCCAGCCAGACACATCATACCGGCAGAAAGGAATCAGTCATCTCAACGCACAGGCGGTGCCCTGGCTGTATGGCCAACCCTGGTACCCTTGTTAGGAATACGCGATAGGTGGAATACAGAATGTGCGATTGTCTCAGTGGACACGAATAAACCGGGGCGGAGTAGAGACGAGTCGAGTCGAGGGGAAAACTCTGGGTCTGGTCTATTTGGTTAGGGCTGGATCTACAATACAGCATGGACAAGCCGTACAACCAACTGTCACCGTTGTCGACTACTGTACTGGAATCATTGCATCGTTAAAATTTCTGTTGTTATGTACAACTACATGTACTATCTCGAACTCTTCCTCCTTTACTTAAAAGTTGCGTGGTGTGTGAGTTCCGGCAGTTCATCCGACAAATCAAACGGCAATTCAAGTCTGTTTTGGATCAGGTTTGTTTTGTTTGCTTCTTTGTTTGTTTCTTATATAGTTGGTCAAGATCAAACACAAACAATCCTTCATTCACAGATGATTGTTGCCGCAGAGTTTCTCGTTTCACCGAAAGGAACACTCATTCATCAGAAGAGAGAAGCACTGGTAGCTCAATAATTGCTAGATATCAGACACAAGCAAGCAAGTATGAAACATGTCGCTTTGTGTCGTCATTCTCTAGCAGATTGTGTGTTCATTCTCTCCTCTCTTGTTCCACCACTTTTGCTTGGTCCTGGTGTAGATTGTTCGAGTTGGTCTATTCCTCCAAGGCACTGCCGGTATCACTTGCCATGGAAGACCGTACTGTCTGAGCATCCTCCTGAATGTGCATGGACTCTGAGTAATCTTCCTGTTGTTTGTTTTGCTTGTCTACCAGATTGGATCTCCTGGCCTCTGCAATGGCCAATTTGAGTTTGTCCATGTCAAATGGCTTTCCTGCCTGTTCTTCCAGTACGTAGATGAGTTGACCCTTTTTGTCAAAGATTAGGACTCCACCTGCCATCCATCCATCGGTTTTGTGGTTTTGTTTGCTGGATACAATATTCTGTGCCTTTAATCTTTTTCTGGCGCCGAGCATTGCCTTGAGAATGGTAAGAATTCCCAGCTTTCTGCCTCCCATGGCCTTGTACAGCTGCCACTTTTCATCTTGGTAGATTGGGTAAGAATGAAAGTACTCCTTGTAGAATTCCAGCAATCCTTGGTCATCGGTTCCCGTTTCCTTGACAGTGGCCGCCAGTGCCAGTTTTCTGTCTTGTGCCGCAAGCTCTACGAGTTGTTTCCCGTGCTCGCGGCACCCGGCTCATCCGGCTTGACGAATAGCAAACAGCATCGTCACATCGGCTTGCTGACTCCGCCGTTCGTGTTTCATGGCATCCTTCAGTAGGACGGGCTGACTGTGTTTCTTACTCACCATGTCAAACTGACAATTCAAATCCCACAATGGAATCTTGTACACGGGGGGCATCTGAGCCAAGTCCATCTTGTGCTGAAGACTCGAACGGATGGACCTGCCCATACTGTTACTGCTAGTAGTACTAGTAGTACTAGTACGGTGGCCCGCCATGGTCTTCTCTTCTTCTTCTTCTGTTCTTACTTTTGTAGACTATTAATATCTGTGTTGCAAACTTTCAGAAGTTTCAGTTTGGTTTTTATGACCCTCCACTTTCTTTGTGGCCGAGATTGACATCGCCACATCGCCGGTTTCGGTGATGCGTGACGTTCTCGTAAAAAGACTGATTGGTGGTGTTCGTTTTGATCTTTGTGTTCATGTCTCGAAGTTTGACCTTTGTGACCGTCGTTCCAAGAGCTTCTTTCCCTTTCGTTCATTCCGATGCTCACTTTTTGGCTTTTGGGTTCTACCGAAACATCAAGCCGGATCCAGATCTGCAAGTCACGGAAGTCTCATTCAAAGCCCAAACCCGAGTATTCCTTTTGTACATACATCCCTTCCATGCGATTCCGTAAGAGATATCGGACTCAGCTCAGGCTGCTCAAGCTCTTTCGCTCAGGGCACAGGGCACAGGGCCGAGACCCACCCAAGCAAAGAGAGATACTGCCTGAAGCATAGCTCACAGTAGTCTTTTCTTTTGCCAACCCTTCCTCTACCATAATCGAATGATTGAATGAATCAGCTGCCTTCGAGGAGCTTCAGATTGCTTCACACGTGTACCGGTGGTGCCCAGACCTGCAGTGCAGACTGCGTCACTCGGACTCGGACCGAACCAGACTTTCCGAGAGATAGCTAGCTAGATACAAAGGGCCAGGTTGGAGAGTGATCTACGAAGGCTTCGGGGAGTCGAGTCGGACTTCTCAAGGGCACTTCGATTTGATTCCTGGTCCGATTCCTACGGTCGTACTTCATGCAGAAGCTTCCAGTCCGATTCGTACACGGGCGGTACCCCTTGCAACTCTACCAGTACCTGGCGTATGATCCTCTGACTGCAAGGATTGAACCACCCGATGCTGACCCGTCGTGAGCGACCTGAATGAATGATGGTCTCTCTCTCTCTTTGAGACCAGTGCTCCGCACGGAGGATTGCGGTAGAACTAGGCTCTGGAAATGGGTGACTCCATTCAACTGTGGTCCCCTCGTGGGCCACGTGGGGCCACGAGTACATTTCCGTACGGTAAGCGGGAACAAGCGAACATGCTGTGGACCCGGGTCCAGGGCTTCATTGCTTGCGAGAGCATAGCAGACCACACTCGCCACAACAGAAAGCTTCGAGGCAGGCAAAGCTACATGTAGTAAAATGTAACGTCCACCAGAGAATGCTGTTTCCATTCCAAGGCGACCGTCTATTTTGGAAAACCATAGTTGCAAAGTCTCGATCCACCAGAGGAACAAAAGTCCCCGTCGGGTCCCATTCAACCTCAGTCCTACAAAGCGCTGTTGTACGTATACGGTACGTGAAAAGGAGAAGAGATGCTTATCCGACTGTCCCATACCGGTAACAGTAGCTAGATCCGGCACCGGCGTCCAAGATCGCCACCCTCGTGATTTTACGGTTGGTCTCTTTCGTCTTCCGAGCAGGCCACGGGCAAAGGGCAACGGGTATCACATGTCACGGGTTACTGCCGTAGTCTTTGGCCAACCCTGGCCCTGGCAATCGTGCCACGATCTCAAACTGCCTCAGTGTGGTCTGTGAAAGCTACGCTTGCCTTAATGCTGATCTTTCCATGGATGTTGACGCGGTGCAATGCCAAGACAATGGTGCTTGCACTGGGACTAATATTCCGCCTCTCTACAGCGTGACCTACCCAGACGGCTCAATATCTGTCGGCGCAGCAATTGAATGGTCCGACGACCTTGAATACGATGCCAGCAAGGATTTGTTAACCTGTCAAACTATACATGCGAGGGGTTGACTATATCTGGATGCTCAAGAATGGGATCTGCCAGTGTCTGTACTTTGTATCTGCCAGATGGTGATGATGGCGATGGCACTCTCTATTTTGGGTCAGCTCTTGATGCCCTTGCGGACATAGAGTTTGATGCAAAGACGAACACTGTCACATGCAAGGAGCAAGAAGCTCGTGCTGGGAAGGCCTGCCAAATTGGTTTCTCCTCACAAAACCCAACAACGATTTCGGGCTGCAGCCAGCTCATCTGTGAAGATAGGGCTTGTGATGGAGCAGAAATTACTGGGGTTCCTTCCATCGAGTGTCAAAATCATGCCTGTAAAGGTGCCCTGTGTTTTTGCCTGTAGTGGGGCGGTGATTACAGAACTGCCAAATAATGCACTTGTGAAATGTGAAGGACAAAAAGCGTGTCACCACACTGAGATCACTGCAGCAGACAGCACTATGGGTTCTCGGGTTATTTGTGATGGTCAGAATGCTTGCATTGCCCATCGCACAATCACGACAGCCATCAATGTTGATTGCCTGGAATGCAGATCCTCCAATGCATGCGTTAATACAGCGCTCAATGGCTGCCACTTCCATGGAGAGCTTTGCCAGGCCGGTCCCCAAGGAAGCTGCCGTTGCAGCTTGACTACGACCACAGGAGAAATACATTTGGAGCAGGACATCAACACCCTTACTGATGTCTCCTATGATGCTAATGCTAACAGCATCCTTTGTGCAGGCCAGCAAAGTGGACTATGCCGGGGTGGAACAATCATGGGATGCCCTACAGTTGAGTGCAGCACGCGGGCCTGTAAGGGAACCACGGTCTGGAAACCAAGTGACTTGGACTGTATTGGCAAATGGGCTTGCCGTGAAGCTGATCTCAAGGAACTCCCCTCTGGTGCTACAGTCACCTGCAGTGGGGAGAGGGCATGCCTGCAGTGGGGAGAGGGCATGTGTGGATGCCAAATTCACCTCAGAAGTAGGAGAAGGAGGTGTCACTGTGGGTTGCATTGACATTGCAAGCAGGGCGTGTCAACGAGCATGTTGTATCCCATAACTTTGCCTTTTTAATAACTGAGTCTTACAGCTTTTCTGTTGTTGAGAGGTGATTTATTGGGACCTTGTCTGGAAGTGTTTGGATTGTGAACTTATAGCAATTTGGAATTAGGCGAAAATTGGTGAATGGGGCATTGTCATTCATCTGAGCCAATCCAGTACCGTGCCGGTATACTGAGTAGCAATGAAGGTAAAAGATGCGAGGAGTAGTTAATGCTCCCACTCTATTCTGAGCCAGCGTGATCTCAAGAGTTTTCTTTCTGTCCTGAACTGCAGCCATTCAGAGACTTGCCCTTTTGCTTCAAACTTTACACTTCACCGTCATGGGGCCAAGAAGAGAAAAGTTGAAAGGGTATGGGGATATTCTCTGCTTGCCTTGCATGCTATATGGGGTTTGGATCCAATGACATTCTTTCGCTTTCTGAGCACACTCACTGTTTTTGCTTCATCCGACTTTTCCCACTTGCCGTGTCGTTGCCGCCTCGAGCTGCTCACATACCGGTACATCAGATACTGAATAAGACAGCCTTGCTTTCCAGCAACAACATGTAGCAGGATTCTTCTCAGCGCCAACGCATCATAACCGTGCAACACGTTAGCATGCATCCAGTTTGCCCATACCAAGATCGCCTCCCTCATGACTCCGACTTTTCGCAGTTGGTCAGGCACGCAGCGTTGCCGGTTCAGTGATATTCGCCTGTCTTATTTCGAATTCCAAAAGCGCGCGAGGCATGTTTCCTCGAACGCCTTGTGTGCAGGAGACACCCAGTTAGTTTGTCATTGGTGGGGTTGAGATGAGTTCGTCAACGGAATGCCCATGCTCGACGTTGCTCGTCCTTTGGCGCCGAAGCTCAAAGCTGCCAAAGGCGGGCTCAGGACGTCTCACTGTCCAACTAAGACCCACAACGCAACACTATTAGGATGTGGGGAGGAGGTTACTACGACACCCGCAGACAGGACCAATGGCGCCGCCGGGAGGAAGAGATTCGCCGCCAAGAACGGCAACAACGCGACCAAATCACGGGACATTACCATGGAGAGATTCAGGCTAAGGAAAATGTTTTGAAGCTCACGAAAAGCCTACTTACTGTGTCGCGCAGCCGCGAAGAGACCACAAATAGCAATGCCGGTACTAGTAGTGCAGTGGGTGCCAACAAACGTGCCAGAGTGGATGAAGACGCTGCCACAAACGCCCGCTACAACTCCTGAGTGTGAAGCAGCCGTGCAAGAAAATCTTCTCTGCTTGTCCTACGCCATGTTCGATACTCTCTATGCAACGGATTCCTTCAACCTTAAGTCGTTCTGTGACTTCCTGATCCAAACGGGGGCTCGAAATGTGGCGGAAGAAGTGGCCTTTGCGGCCATCGAAAAAACCAAGGGCAGCGCTGATTCGGTTAGATACGTCCTGGAAGCTCTTGTCCCCGGTTCCGCCATACCCACAATCTTGGTGGACCGAGTCAAGCAGTTTTGAAGCGGGATCCACACTGGGTCTCCCGTGATGAAGGCAAGCAGGTGATGGTAGAGTGGCAAGCCATGCAAGCAAGGCAACAAGGAAGATGCGTTCCAGAGCGCACTTGCAATTACCGATGAGATTGCTCGCGTCGAGACTTGCATCCCAATGCTGGATGGGAAGGAGAGCCGCCGAAAGCTGCTGAAAAAGTCTTCTTTAAATGTTTGTATGAACAGCTTAATCAACGATGCATTTGAGGACTCTGAGTGGCCCTGCTTCTTGGCTTCCACACACTTACCGCCACCACGGGCGCGCCTATGCTTGTGGAAACCAAGTCTTAACGACATTCTGGGATACGCCACAAACTCCATGACTCTAGAAGCTGGAAGACGAGTTGGAACCAATGCGATAACACATTTCGTCCGGTCGTTTGGAGAGGATCTCAAATTACCGCGGGGTTTGACTTCTGCCGGCATGTCCAATGAAGGCGAGGCCCGAGGGGGATGAGCAAACTTGCCCATGGCTCTGTGTTGAATTTGTTAGAGCGTTTTTGTAAAAATTGTGTGCCCTAAGCCAATCTTTTACTTTGGCTGTTTTTCTCTATTGGATTTGATTGGATTGCATTGGATTATATTGGATTAGATTGGATTGCATTGAATTACAGTTTACTATATAAATAACGCCCACCTTCCCAGACAGGGAATGAAGAGATTCTACAGAACGGAGAGTATGAGTTAACAGGGAGCCGACCATAAGGAGACTGACGGACAGGAATCGGGAGAGCCACTCATCCAAGGATGAGGTGGTGGACCGAAGTGTCGGTGCACAGGTGGTGTGCCTATGTGGTGTTGATGACTAGCTAGAAGGACTACTATCGGGCGGCTACAAATCAGGTTCACTTTTTCTGAACCAGAGTTGCAGCCGCCCGACACCAATTTTCCTTTTTGACTGGGGGTAATTAGGGTGAGCGTCCGCAACCTGAAAAAGTATCTGCTGCCCGACAGTGACCGCCTCCCTCGCCAAACCTTACTCTGAAGAAAAGTAAGCATGGACTTAGAGTTTGATGACGCCAGCGGCGGGTCACACAGTGTGACTTCCTTAGGGTCCGGTGTCGGAGATGGCGGCGTTTTGCACACCGGCCGAGTGGTGTGCAAGGAGATGTTTTGTCGAGCCCGATTCGTCATGAAAGGTACCGTCTATGTTTGTTTCAGTGACCGTGGTATCGATGTAACCGAGCCGGTCACCGAGGAGCTACTCGGTCCAACCAGGTGGGTACTCCTTTGAAGGGGGTGCTTAGACGCAATGACAAAACTTTGACGGAATCGCTAGTAACGCCTTGTCCCCCCACGAAACGGCCGCTCTTCAAGCCAAAGAGCGAGCTGAGGACGAAGCCGCGCTCCATGAAGGACCCGCCGAACGCTCTCCGGGATCACGGTGGAAACCGTGAACATGGGATCGCCTGACGCCAAACGAGCTTTTTCGAGTGGAAGCACCAAGGGACGTGGAGGGTCGATCTCCTCGAAGGCGAAGAAGCCCCCGGCCTCGCCGGGACCTTCTCGAGCGATACCGGCGGATCTTTCAGCACCCCCATCCCGGGTCATCAGAAGATCGCTGCCCGCAAGAAAACACCCGAAGGCTCGCTGAACGAGGCAGAGAGAGCCGAAAGATCTCGGAGCTGGCCGCCCAGGAACGAGCTAAGGAGGAAGTCGCCCAAGAAGAAAAGCGGCTCGCGGCAGCAAACTATGAGCAAGAACGAGCCACTGAGATGGCCGTCCAGAAGCTCCTACGTGAACACGAGGCAGCCGGAGCACAACGAGCGAAGGCCGCTGAGGCCGCCAAATACAAGCAGGAAGCAGAGGTTCAGCGACGCGTTGAACAAGCCCTGGCCGCCAAGGCTCGCCAGGAAGGACTCCGAGATAGGCACCCGGGGACAGGCGACGGTACGGCTCCGCCGACACCCAGCTTCTCCCTGGAGTACCATCCAGTCAACCAGCCGCTTTTGGTACGGGTATGTGAACGGGGTCAATGGAGCATACGGAGTGGTCAACGAACAGCGCAAGATGCAGCCATTCGCCAGCGATAGGATTCTTGCCTGTGCCCGCAGCACGGCTGCCGAAGCCTGGGAGTGGGTGAGTGCCGAACTCGCCCATACAGCTGACAACGCCCCGGCCCCCGACGAGATCGGCGATGGGAAGTCCCTGAGCCCGCCAATAGTCGAGTGGTACGCAATCCAGCCGGCCCACCCACCATGCTCGCCGGAAAGGACCCGTCTACCAAGGACAAGGATGCGATCTACAACATCCCCATCAAGGAGGGCACGGCAGTTCTCGCGAAAGGTTTGGCCCCAGAAGGAATCAGTCCGCGAACGGCCAAAACATTGGGCAACACCATGCTAGATGTATTGTCCCTACCAGGTAAGACACAGAACCGGTGAACGCGACGATGTAACCAGCGAAATCAGAGATTCTCTCTTCGCCGCCGTCAGTCGCCAAACTGTCGACGACGAGAGGTGCCCCCCGACCTCAAGTGGCAGCAGCCTTCCAGAAACTCAGTCTAGCCTGCAAGAACGACGAAAGACCTACGGGAACTCAAGCGAGATGTGGAAGAAGTGGAGGAAACAACCTTTGCCGGTCCATCGAGCAACAACGCACCATCCTCGTCAGGAACGACTACCCTCTGAGCCTCGCCGACACCTGGAGTAGCGAGGATTTATGGCCACACTCAACAGCAAGGGAATCAAGTATTACAAAGCCTTCCTTGACCATCTCATTCAGCTGTCGTCCGGCCAAGGATGGAACGCCACCACCACGGTCATCGAATACTATGTGAAGAAGTGGCGCATCATTCGGGCCAATTGCCATTCCCGGCTCCTAGCCCTATGCCAACTTTATGTCACCCTCCGCGATGGATATGAAAGCGACTGGCTGCACCTCAAGCTCACGGACAAGAAAGTGAACTCCCTGCTCACGCAGACTGGAGGAGCAGAAGGTGCCCGGAACGGAGGAGCTGTCCCTCGCGGAATCGCCCTCTGCCAGAAGTGCGAGACCATCCTCCACGGCGGGACCGGCTGCCCCTGGACTGCCCTACGTGGAAATGCGGCAAAACAGGCAGGCAGGAAGCCCTACGTCGTTTGGCAGCTGGTGAAGCAGCACCTCCGCCCGAATAAGGAAGACAACGCCACCTTACCGCAGAGCCCGTAGGGGCCCAGAATACTATATATGTTCAGAAAGAAGTCTTCAAGTGTACGAACCGCCGCGCGACGGTCACAAGCACTTGAGCTGACTACAACACGTGACGACCGAAGATCCACAACTTCACGTCAGCAATGAGCTCTTGGTTCCAGCCGAGAGACAATTTGGAAGGGGGACAGAAGGCAATCTGACAAGTTGCTAACAATTACCACCCGTTATGTTACTAATGCCTTTCTCGTTGTCGTTCTACACCACACGTAGGTGAGTCAGAACGATTTGTACGAGCAGAGGATATCCTCTGTGCTTCCCCGCGCATCCTCCACCCCTCCTCAAGAGGAACAAAATTCGATATGGACCATCGGGCACGGCCTGGATTTCGGCCCGTTTGGTATGGGCAGGAGAAAACCACGTTTTCTCATGCCAGGACATCGATGTACAGTCACCGCTTTCTAAGCGGCCCAAGACCAAGGAAGTCAAGCACCTCCAACGTCAGAAGAAGACCTTCCTCAACTCCCAAAGACTAGACGCATTACAGTGGACGAAGGCTGCGGCAAACAACGCAAGGAGGTTCTGACGCAGTTAAAAACACTGTCAGGATAACCGGGAAGCCAAAGTCGATCATCTTCGCTGGTCCGGTGAGCCGAGGATACGACACCAAGACGCCCTATGGCGGAAAGGACGCCGCAAAGACCTTGAACGGATGGGCTACGTCGGGCAGGAATGGTACCTAGGAGGACAAACCAAGGAGGCGCTGTGTACAGGAACTCCTCATGGAAAGTCTTCAGCCTGACCTCCCAAGGAAAGAACCTGCCAATTGACGCCAACACACCAAGGGATCCCCCCCAGGGAAATGAACAACTTACTCTTACCCATCGGATATCCCGATCGAGATCGAGCCAAACTTCGTCATATCTCCAAGCTCCCAAGCCCCACCTCCTACCAAGAACACTACCAGATCTATGGACATGTCCATAACCTACCCATCTACGACGGAGCCGGGTGCATGCCCGACATCGTCGGGCGATGGGTGTTTTATGGGAGTCGGGTCCGGAAGATACAGCTAGACGAGTTGGCCAAGTGCAAAGGAGTCCCTGGGGAATGGCGCGACAAGCCCCTGGTTGCCTACAAGGCCTGGGTGGGAGCCACCGCCGTACAAATCTGGACCGTGGTCTATGTGGCACCGGCCAAAGCCACAACCTCCTCCAGAGAAACGACTCAGACACGAGTGACGCAGGCCGCCGAAACTGGTCTCGTCGAAGATGCATGTTGCAAGATTGGGGACTGACGCCCCGCCCTACCGGATCTCAGCGAAGGAGGGGAGTGGTACCAGGATCGCGTCGAGTCCCTGCGACAGGCTACCCAAGACCTACCCGACCAGGAAGAAGCTTACCAAGACGGACTCGAAGCACTGAAGATTCATAGAGACAACTACTCCCCAGCCGGGCCAAAATACCTCCAAGTACTATGGTGGGAATTCCCCCCGGAGCACCAAGAGGCGGTACGCCGGGGATCCTCTATGCGTTTCCTGGTGGATCCAGGAGAAGAGATCGTCCCAAACCCGGCCCTGACCGACGAGCAAGTCCAGGTAGTGGGAGAATTCGTGACGAACTCGAGGCCCTTGGAATTGTGAGAGAAGCCACCCGGAAGCTGCGTCGGGTCTGCCCATTTTTGTGGTACCTAAACCAGGACAGCCCGGACAATGGCGGTGCATTGCCGACATGAAAGCGGGTGGGCAGAACCCCTGCTGCAGTCTGGATCCAATATATCTACCAAGCAGCAGGGACATCCTCCCTCAACTCTACACCGGAGGATGGACTTCGGTGGCAATTGTCATAAGTACTTCATCAAGTGTACTAG